TAAAAAAACCATCGACGCAAGTTGTACACGGAAAAAAATGAAGAGTATGTACGTCTTAGAAGAGAGGAACAACGTATCCTTCAACGTAAGAAGAGGGAATACGAACAGAACACTCTCTTCTTCTTCTTCACGTGCCATCTCCTCTAAGAAGGTTGGCAACCATGGCAATTCGCAGTTTCGACGCCGCTGCTCTAAAGAGGTCAGCAGAAGTGCAGTTAAACCAAGCTCTCAAATTATTCAACCAGGAGATGCGTTTTCTTCCGCGACTCCTTCTACCCTGTATTCTTCCTTGCATTATTAACTGCAACAAGTTAGAATGCCTGCCCCTCATAAAATGTCCCATATATTGCAGTTTTCTGACTTTAACTGTATATAAGATCTCATTCAATGAGATACAAAATTTATTCGATGAAAATGATAAAAACATCTAAATATAAACGATATTGAAGGAGATTATAACATAGACAAACTCAAAGATAATAAAGCGCCAGGTATTGATGAAATCTGTTCGGAAATGTATAAAAAAGGTGGTGATCAACTTTTTGCAGCAATCCATAAATTAATAGTACTTATATGGCAGAATGAATTGATACCAGAAGAGTGATTAAAGGGAATAATATGTCCGTGGCATAAAAAGGGTGATCAACTGAAGTATAAGAACTATAGAGGCATTACTCTGTTAGCATCTGCGTATAACATCTTCGGCCATGTATTGTTTGAAAGACTTAAACATTTTAAACAGGATATTGTTGGTCAATATCAATGCGGATTTACTGTTGGAAAGTCAACTACACATCAAATTCAAGCACATAGGCAGGTTCTAGAAAAGTCACTAGAATATGTTAGTCTTCGTAAGTGGGTATATTTATTTAAAAACCCTTAAAAGGGCTACATAAAAAAAACAAATGTTTTCGGACTAAACAGTCCATCATCAGGTTTTAAAATCGCTAGGTTAAAATGCCTGAGCCACCAAAAATACATGGGTAAAAACCCTTTAAATTACATATAGTTATAAAAGATTATACATCTTGTTGTCAGTTTCCAGCTGTTCTTCGTGCGTAGAAGTTTTCTCCCCGGCTGAGGAACTCAATTTTTGCAATGTATGTTACCTGAAGTCATATTTAATTTAATACTGAACATCACAGTTTTTTAACAACAAGATGTATAATCTTTTATAACTATATGTAATTTAAAGGGTTTTTACCCATGTATTTTTGGTGGCTCAGGTATTTTAACCTAGCGATTTTAAAACCTGATGATGGACTGTTTAGTCCGAAAACGTTTGTTTTTTTGATGTAGCTCTTTTAAGGGTTTTTAAATAAATATACCCACTTACGAAGACTAACCTCTTGTTTTGTGATACGTGGTATACAGCCAGCTACAGGAATTGTTTTCCTTGTGGATTTCACTAGAATATAACATAGATACACACCATCTCTTCGTCAACTTCAAAGCACCCTATGACAGTGTGAAAAGAAGTACATTATATAATGCAATGATAGACTTTGGGATCCTACCTAAGTTAGTTAAGTTGACCCAACTAACAATGCAAAACGTAAGCTCATGCGTTAGAATTAAAGGAGAAAACTACGTTCTTTGACATTATTAATGGTCTAAAAGAGGCGGACGAGCTGGCGTGTCTTCTCTTTAATATTGCTTTGGAAAAGGCAACCAGACTATTTTATTGGAATAAATTGACTTATTTTTAATAGATCGACACAAATTCTCCCATTCGCTGACGATATAGTTATAGTGGGCAGAAGTATGAGAGACAGGGTGCAGTGTTTTACAAGGCCTGTTAATTAGGACTTGTGGTAATCGAGGGTTTCTAAAAACCCCGAAATATCCAACAGAAAATTCATATTAGCAACCATACCTTTGAGCAAGTCCAAGAATTCAAATCTCTTGGATCGCTAGTAAACGCAACAAACACGACAAGCGATGAAATAAAAAGACACATAACAATAGCAAACGGAACTGTTCACGGTCTCCAGAAACATTTAAAAAATAAAAATATAAAACGTGCAGTAAAGGTCAATATATTCAAGATCTTAATAATATCGGTTGTGTTATATGGGCTGAAACGTGAAAATGATGAAAAACTTCTTGGTATTTTTGAGAGAAAAATTCTTAGAAAGATTTTTGGGACCGTAAATGAAAATGGGCTATGGCGTCGAAGATACAACTTTGAAGTACGTCAGTACATCGATCCAGATGTTGTGAAATTCGTAAAAGTGCAGAGACTAAGATGGGCTGAATACATTGCTAGGATGTCGGATCACCAATACACAAAAAGAATAACATTTTCATAACCAAAGGGCACAAGAAGTAGAGGTCGACCACGGATTGGTGATGTGGAAGAAGACCTACAAATTTAAAGGGTCAGAAGATAAAGGAAAGTTGCCAGGAATCGATAGGAGTGGCAACTTCTTTGTAAGCAAGCTAAGATCCACAACGGATTGTCGAGCCACTTATATTAATACAGTAAAACCTCCCCTAACCGAAACATCGTTTAACCGAAACGGCTGACAGTTTCAATAATTTCGTCAATAAAAAGTAAATTTTTATCGCAAAACGTAAACAATTTCATTAATTTCACTCTCCGATTAATGAATATGTGTGTTGGGGAATCAAAAATTAAGAGCTCCAAAAGATATTTCCGAAAAAGCATTTCCAGTTTTTTGTAGAAGCCAAAAAAGCTCATGGATGTCGACCACTTTATTTTCAGAATTGTTGAAAGTTAATTCGTCCCAAGAGTAAAATTCTTTTTAAATCAAAAAACCTTTCCATCAAACATTATTGCTTCTTGACAATGCGCCAACTTACCCTCAAAATCTACAAAATGGTGACAATTGTCAGATTTTGGCCACTGAATGTCACGAGCTTAATTCAGCTGTTAGACCAGGGAGTAATAGATACATTATAGAGGAGCATTCTTAAGACATATGTTATTACAGGAGACGAATGAATCCAAAAGTGTTTCCGAAATTCTCAAATCTTTAACAATGAAACATGTTATTTATTGGTGTGTTGAGTCGTGGACCAAGATCAATTCTTCAACTTGGGAAATGCTGAAACAAACTTTTTGATAGGATTTTGATAGACGATTTTAAAGAAGAAAATGGTAAAGAAACGATAGAAGAAATTAAACCTTAAATAAAACATTTGCCGGGATGTGAAGAAATTAATCAAGAAAACATACGTGAGTGGTTAGCAACCGATGACTCAGAAAGTGAATTCATCAACCAGGATTGATATGGTTTTTCATCCAGACAACCTGAGCGTATCAGACGACGAAAATGACAAATCAACTGCTAAACAACAGGCAGCACGAGACCGCCGATGAGATTTTCAATGCCTTCCGAGATATTCTATACAGTAGGCCTAATTAGTAAGTGACACGACTAGGTTCTTAGTCGTGTCAAAGTTTTGTCCTTTTCAGATTGATTTACGTTTCGTCGAACAATCAAATGAGGCAATTCATAGCGTTATGCAAATGAACGATGAAGAGATATAACTGCAAAACATCGTTGTAAAACAAAAACTCAAAAGAAAATAGAAGATTTCTTTAAAAAAAGCATGTTAAACTTGTTTATTTTCCTTTATTTTATTATTTTATTCTGTATTTACTTATTAGAAAACATTACGAAATCACCTCATAGTATTTTTTAATACTAATACTTTGACCAAGTACACTATAAATTACAATGTTATTTTTAACCGAAATTCGTGTTATCCGAAACGGCCTTCCCCCCCCCCTCCCAATAATTTCGGTTAACGGAGGTTTTACTGTATTGCAATCTAATTTTTTTTTAATTGAAATTCTTTAAAATCTTGCTCAACAAAAACTAGACCGTATAAAAGTGTGCCAAGTTTTTTGCATATAAAAAAGCACTCCACCTACTATCGTACCAAAAAATATAGATCATACTCTTCTTCTTATGGTATGCCCTATCGTATTAGTGGATGTTGGCGACAATTCTGGCGTACTCCTCTCGATCTTGTGTGGCTTTAAAGAGTGCATGGACATCGAGGTTTGTCCAATCACTTATGTTTTTAAGCCATGAGTATTTCTTTCTTCAGATGCCTCATTTTCCTTCTATATTCCCCTCCATAATATGCTTTACTATCGTACTCTATAGAATCGTACTGTATTGAATTGAAATCGGATTATTTGGGCGGCCTTAGGATTGTTTTTAAGTTATAAACATTTTTTTGGCTTATAAACAAATAGAATATCTCGGTAAATATTAGTATAAATTAAATTTAAAAAACGGCGTTGGAAAACACTCAGCAAGACGCTCGTTTTAAAAGAAAAAAAGTTGAAGTAAAGCCAGTGGTTCCTGAAATACAACCGGTCAACTTTGACCGACGTTTGCGACGAAGTTATAAACAATAGGATGGTATTTAATATTTGAAACATTGCCTTTTTCTTTCGGGGTTCTTTCTGGATAAAAAAAGAGCTATGTCGAGGACTTAATTTCAACTATCCATAAATAATGCTCCAACGTTTTAGAAGAAAAAAAATCATAAATATTTATTCAAAAAATCAAAGAGACAGCACAAAAGTAGTTTTAAGGAAGCTAAAACGCAGAACTAAAATCAAAGTTAAAACAAAATAATTTTTGAATAATGAACAAAAAGACAGTTTCCTACCCACAAATTGTTTAACTATTAGAAAATATAAAAAGGGATATTTGAGGGACTAGTGTTTCTATTACAAAAAAGTTATTTCTTGTTGTCTGACGTACTAATTGCGATCTAAAAGTATAAATGCTACATAATATAAAGTATTTAGTAAATTACAGCTAATTCGAAAGACAGTTAGAAAAACTTGTGTACCACAATGAAAGTTTAAACACAATAACAAAGTATTATAGGTTAATACTTTGTTATTGTGTTTAAATCCTTATAGTTATTATGAAACTTTATAAAAACTCCTGAAAATATCCAACATTTGAAAGTAATATTCCTCCTCCTTATAAAAAAATCAAACATACCCTGTACACCGATGTAATCGCCATCCGTAGCAAATAAAATATCCTTAATATTCACAAAAATGTACACTCACAAAACTCAGCACACTTTTTCGGCACATAATATTTCGAAAAACGAGAGTCCCGCGCTATTTACGTATTGGTAGAGACGCTCCAACAGAAATAAACCAACCAACCACTTCAGTCGACTGAACAAGCGCAACTGAACTGACTAAACGATGCAAACTTTCAACTGGCGACCGTTTACGCTTCGGAATCACCCTGAAACTGATAGGTGGGTAGAAACGCACAGACATTTTTTTCCTTCAAGATTAAAAAGAATTTTCGGGAATGTTTGTAAAAACATCGTCATGTTCTCAAGAGGTCCTTTATGTCAGCTGAGCGTAATGTGTTTATTGTCATCTTCCTATCGCTACTAGAACTACTACCTACTGTTATCGACTGTTTTACCTAGCTACAGGGTGGCTCACTTAAAAAAATAGCAAGGTTAGTTTGTAGAGGTAACCATAACCAAAAGCATATAAATAAATATCCAAAAAAGACGTTTCTTAGACTGTAGAAAATATAACGGAAAAAAAATTAGTTAGGTCACATCAGATTTTTTAATAAGTATGGATTTTGATGAAGTATTAGAAAATAAATTTAAAGTTGACAACAATAAATATTTTTATACTAATATTGCTTCTTTACATACTAGCTTTGCTGACTTTCTGTCAACAAGCCGATAATTCGATTTTGCTGTAACCTCGTTAAGTCCCAGAATACCTAATTCTTTCGTAAAATTGAATGGTTATTCTATTTTATCGTAAAGATAGTTTAGATCGTGCAGGAGGCGGAGTATGTGTTTATTTTCATAATGGCTTCTTTAAAAAATCTAAGATGCTGTAGGCCATAATCTGAAACGTATTGAATCTCTCTCTCTCTCTCTCTCTCTCTCTCTCTCTCTCTCTCTCTCTCTCTCTCTATCTCTCTCTCTCTCTCTCATAATCTGAAACGTATCGAATATTTAAAATTATTTTTCCTAACAAAATTGTTATGCACCTTCTTGTCATCTATAAACCAAACATTTCTCTTACTCTCACCAAATCTATGTGTGAATTTATTGAAAAATGTAGCAGTGAAAGAGAAAATTTAATCATTCGTGGAGATTTCAATTTTAAGGATTTTAAGGACTCCGCTTATTGGAGATAATCCCAATGTTCCACTTTAAAATTTATTTTTTCAAACTAATCTGAACCAATTTATAACACAACCTACCAGTGGCGGCTTTTCTTTATGTGCTGCTGAGCTGCAGAACTACCAAACAACCATAGCAAATCTTAATTATTAAAGAATAATTAATATAGTTTTATTTCAAATCTGCCATATTATCATATTAAACATAAACTGTTAATAATAATTCACCAACAACGATGATTAATATTATTTTTTTTACGTATTTACTCCTCTAGTGAAACCGTATAATTTTTTTACGTATTTGGTGCTCCAGTGAAGCAATCTTTTTACGTATTTGCTGCTCCAGTGAAGCCGCGTCGATAACAACCGAAACACTGGCAGCGGTAAAATGCATTTATTAGGCAAACGGCGATCTTAGCCGATGTGCTTCGGCAATCGGCTGATTAACGGCCTCGGAAATGTGTTTGCGAGCTGCAATTCACGACAGTTATTCGTGACCGTTGCATCTGTGCCGTGTTTAGAAATTCTTAGGTTACAATTTTGTTTAATTTGTTTTGTTCGAGCGTGTTTAAAACAATGGAGTTTCAATTTAAATTAGGTGTAAATAAATTTCAAAAACTTCACTATCAACAACAGTTGATTATAAAAGAACGTGGCCGTCCTATGCCTGATCTTAATATTGAAGTGTCCGGTAAAAGCCGTGGAAAAACATATACGCGTAAATTTAATAAAGACATGTATCTACGAAATCAGTGGATTTGTGGATGTTCCGAAAAAAATGCTTTTTTCTGTTTTCCGTGTGCATTATTCGGCGCAGATAAAGAGGAAAAATTGTGGCGCGAGACAGGAGTGCGGGATCTAGTGCATTTAAGTGAAAAAATAAAGAAGCATGAAAACACGCAAACTCATATGAACAATGAAATGCGATTTGCATTATTTGGGAAACTTAATATACAGGCCCAACTTGACTCTGCTTATTGGATAAATATACAAAAACACAATAAAGAGGTGACGAAAAACAGGTATGTTTTGTCAAAAATAATTGACTGTATAAAATTCTGTGGGGCTTTTGAGCTCGCCTTACGAGGACACGATGAATCTGAAACATCAGATAACCCTGGAATTTTTCGTGGTTTAGTGAATTTTTCTGCTGAACTTGATAAAACACTTAGTGAACACCTTACAAATGCGACAATTTTCAAAGGTACCTCAAAAACAATACAAAATGATATTTTGGATTGCATGCTAGAAGTATACGCTGAGGAGATTTTAAACGAAATCAATGAAGCCCCATTTTTAGCAGTGATAGCTGATGAGACAACGGATGTTTCTATGAAATTTCAAATGGTCATTGTTTTTCGTTATGTAAAAAACGGTGCTCCAGTTGAAAGGTTTTGGACTTTTTTGCTTCCAGAAAAACATGATGCTGAAACCTTAGCTAACACAATTTTGAATGTTTTAGACCCAATATTAAAGAATAACAAAAATAAGCTCATTGCACAAAGTTATGACGGAGCAGCTGTTATGAGTGGGATACATGGCGGAGTGCAAACAATAATTAAGAGAAAATATGAAACTGCTCATTTTGTGCACTGTTACGCCCATCAATTGAATCTAATAATGTCAAGAGCATGTTCTATTAATTCCCAAGTACGCGTATTTTTTGGAGATTTACATGATATACCTGGATTTTTTAGTCATTCACCTCAAAGAATAGCTGTCTTAAATCAAATAGTTGGAAAAAATATTCCTCGTTCAATCCCTACACGCTGGAATTTCAATATTCGTACAGTAAATGTCGTTTACGAATATAGAGACTTTATTATTGAGTGTATGGAGCAACTAGAAGAAGAGTCAAATGCTATTACTTCCAAGGAAGCAAGAGGACTTAGACGTATTCTGGAAGATCAAAATTTTACTTTCTGGCTGACTGTTTTTCATTATATTATGCCACATGTTGACGTTTTGTACAATAATCTTCAAAAAAAGAACATGGACCCAACCGAAGCACAGAAAGCTATACATGTTTTTGAGCAAAGTATTAACAATGTCCGAAATAAAATAGACCCTATCATACATCAAGCTTCAAATTTAAATGCGGCGCCTAGTGTCCAAAAAAGGAAACGCCCAAATAACAGCCAACAGGATCACCGTATTGCCTGTCTAGAAGTTTGTGATGTTATTATAAACAATGCAAAAGAACGGTTTGCATATACAAATCATCTAGTTGCCGCAACACTTTTATCTTCAGAACATTTCGAAAAATATAATAATAAGTTTCCTGAAAATGAATTGGATTTAACTTGTACAGCTTATAACTTCTTTGATAAAAACCGTTTGCGAACAGAACTGTCAGTTTTGTATTCCAATATCGAGTGTAGAACATTAAAAGGTGCAGTGCCTTTACTAAAATTTATAATTTCTAATAATTTAGAGGACACATTAACAGAAACCAAAAAGTTGATACAAATTCTGGTGACTACGCCAATGACCACAGCAGAAGCTGAACGTAGTTTTTCAACTTTAAAACGGATCAAAACATTTTTAAGAAATTCAATGTGCGAAGACAGATTAACAGCCCTTTCCACACTCTCGATAGAAAAAAAGTTCATCGCTTCAATACCGAACTTTAACGATAAAGTAATCGAAAAGTTTGCGACAAAAAAGGACCGGCGTATTAATTTCCAATTTAGAAAAATGCAATAAATGTAAGTTAATCAGATTTTTATAGCATGTCGTTATTAGTTACTATTAATTAGTATTAAAGCTAATTTTATTGTTTTTGTTTTCGTATGTTATTCTATTTCTATTATTTTATATTGACCGTGGTTCATGCAGCACACCCTATAGCAGATGTCACGAGCCGCCACTGCAACCTACTAGATACCATCAAGGTAATATACCTTCAGTTTTAGACTTAATAATGAGAAAGAACTTATCAGTGAAATTCACTATCTTTCACAAAGAGCTATTTCAGACTATGTAGTTCTTCAGACCCTATAACTACTTTGACAATACCAGACTAGGTTTAACTGCTCTGAGCAATAGTAGAATAGACTACCGGCTTACAAAGTTAGTACCAACATTGTACCAAAACGCCACAATGCGTGTAAAACTACATGATACCAACAGAGAAATTTATATAAAGCGAGGTGTGAGAGAGGGCGACACTATCTCACCTAAATTATTTATAACAGTCCTCGAATACGCCTTTAAAATGTTAAAATGGAAAAATAGAGGAATAAAAATAGACGGGAAATGCTCAATCATCTGCGATTTGCCGACTATATAGTACTTATTACCGAAGATCTGCGTGAAGCACAACAAATGCTACAAGAATTAGAAAACGTATCTTCAATAATAGGACTAAAAATAAAATAAAACAAATTTATGGCAGATTTGGTTCCCAGCGAACACCTAATCATCCAAAATCAAGTGGTCGAATAGACAGAAAAGTACATATATCCCGGTCATGAAATCAAAATAAGCAAGGATAATCAGACCTGTGAATTTCAACGACGAATACCACTTGTTTGGGCGGCGTGTGGTTCACTAAAAGACATCTTTAAAAGCAACATCCCGATAGCTAGGAAACGAAAGACATTCGACCAATGCATTCTTCTTATTATGACATACGGAGCAGAAACTCTCACTCTCACAAAAACAACGGCACTAAAAATGCCAGTAGCATAAAGGCGCATGGAAAGATTGATTCTCGGCGTGGCAAAAAAAGTCAAAATAAGAAACCAAGACGTAAGGAAAAGAACAGGTTTCACTGATGTCATAGAATTTATAGCCAAGATGAAATGGAATTGGGCAGGTCACATAGCTAGACTAAAAGACTCATGATGGACTAGAAAACTAATTTACTGCCGCCCAAGAGACGATAAACGCAGCAGGACGACATTAAATGAATATAAAAAAAATGGCAGCAAGACGCACAGAACCGTGAAGAGTGGCGACAAATGGGAGAGAACTATGTCCAGCAGTGGACAAA